TAAGACTGGTTCAACTACTGGATCCCCTGTGGCCGCATAAATACGACAGTCTTAGTCGGAAAGCACGGGAGATCACTTCGCCCACTGCCTCATCGCCTTTGATAGTGTCCAGCGCAGTTGTGGGCGAAACGTCCGGAATAAATTCCCATGAAAATCATTTCTATATGTGATTTGACCGGCCGGGAAAGCCTTCATAGTCTGCTAACGACATCCTAATTTCTTGTCAGGTGCATCAAGCTTCCGGGCCAAATTTTCCCGTTGGGTTGAAACTTGCACAATTTGCTACCAAGGAAAAAACAATCTTTTCTCTTTCCTATTAAACTGCCCTCATTTTTGGGATGAAATTTCATAACGACAAATAATCCGCCCTTATTCTATCGGGCTAATTTGTTCTCAGGGGACGTTATTTCGTGCCCTTTTTTCTCATTTACTCGCCCGCGCTATTAACGAAGGGTCTTCACTAAAAGAATGCAATTAAACCCGCATGGAATGAACATTGCAGGGGTGCAAACATGCATTTTGCGTTTGTTCGGTGAATTCGATTTGAGTTGCGCTTTTTCAGACCTAACGAAGCCGAAATTTCGGAACGAAACAGCGGTTTTTTGACCTAAATCAACGCAAAGAAGCAACAGAGAAACCTAAACACGCGAAATTTAGGCACAGAACGGAGCAAAAAACACTGACAAATTTTCAGGTTAAATTGCAATAAAACCCCTTAAACGCACAAGGATGAAGGAAAAATTTTCGGCCAACATTAATTTGGGTTGCGCAACAAGAAACATTTTCTGTATGTAAATCACTAACCCGAAAGTTCCAACGCGCATTAAGGTTTCGGCAGTTTCTAGAGCCAAACACAACTTTTAACGATTCTTTAATAAGGCATCCGTGACTAGATTTTAATTAGTGCTTTGTTGGTAGGCAGGCTGCTTATTCAGCAGTGATTAAAGTTGAATTAGTCAACTGCATTTTAATTAAGAAATTAATCAAAGCAATTCATATTCTCTGGATGGTCCTACTCAGGGGCAGAATCGGTCAAGACTAACGAAAGGAATGCTTAAAAGTAGCAATTAAGAGTTTTGTGGTCAAAACATGCATAATAAATGTTTTGAACAAAGAACAAAGCTCATAATGGAAACAAAATTGCTCACTTGCGGTCTATTTTTTCATTATTTAAGAGAACATGATATACCGTTGAAACTAATGGGTTTTTAGGTCGCCTTTTCGGTAGACACGAATTTCTTCTTGACGTTTCGCAAGCAAACCACTTCTGAAGATGCAAGCCTCTCGTGCTTGCGAAACCTCAGGAATAAATTATCATCGTTCGGTAGAATTTCTTCTTGACGTTTCGCAAGCACGAGTGGCTTGCATCTTCAGAAGTGGTTTGCTTGAACAGTGTAAGCGTTCAATTCTACTGTTCTGCGGAAGAAAGAAGAAGAAACTGAACCGGGGTTCTGATGAGAACAGTGTAAGCGTTCAAGCAAACCACTTCTGAAGATGCAAGCCACTCGTGCTTGCGAAACGTCAAGAAGGAATTCTACCGAACGACTTAAAGGAAAAATTGTTTTAAAGACAAACATTTTTGAGACGAAATACCCAACAAGCAGTTTGTCAAAAAATACACCGTTATGTATAATTGTTTTTAAGTGGGTTTCGGTAGATTTAGCTTAAAGCTGTAAGCGCAATTTTAGCTGTATAAACACTGCAGACCTCTGGAGGTTTGAGAGTCAAGTTTGAGCCAAAGCATGAGTTTTTACTGTTTGGGGAAAGAAAAAACATCGCCACCGAATCAAAATCGACAAAATCTTTACCGAATTCGCCATGATTTATTTGCGCACTTTGACTACGCGATTGAACTCATCCCACTTTCCTACTACTTTTCTCCTCTCTGAAGCAATTAATATTCTCTCTGGATCGATTAATTTTATCCAAAGGTTTTGCTGGGATTAAATGGCCCTTTCGGCAGCTTAGATTTAATGAAACTCTTTGCTTTGCTGCGAATTTTCCAGGCTGAAATTTCCATGCAAGCCTGTTTTGTTTGGGCATTTGGCCCATTGTAAAGCGGTTTCAAAGGATCAAGCTGGTGAAGAAGTGCCGGTTTTAATCCTTCCAGTGGATGTCGGCAAAGGATTTTCTGAAAATTCGCCTAAACACTCAACAACACTTTTCCAGTCCAGATGTTTCTTCATCCAGTCCAGGCTCACATTTTTGCGATGCATCCATAAATCTTGCCAGCATGTTCATTAATAATGCGGGCTAGACATATCAATTTGGATGACCATCTGAAGCTCTTCGCCTGCTTAAATCGACCATTTTTTTACGCTGATGTGTTATCTATGCTAATGTCTTTGTTATTGAAGCCCCCAAAAAGGTTTCCGGTGTAAATCATGACGAAATCATTTGGAAATTTGCCGTTAAAACCCTGAAACTCCCGAAACAACGTTTTTAAAAGGCGATAGTGGCGCTTTTGCGCCTGTTTGGAGCGTGAGTGTAAAGCTTTTCGATTCTGATTTTAGAATTTTGCAAAATTTCAAGCGGTTTCCTCACATTAAAGAACTGTATGGTTTCTACTAGAACTAGGGATGGTCGGTATCTAACGTAACCGCTAAAGTAACATTGTTACAAACGTGTAACCTGGAACAGTAGTTACAGCTAGCAGATTTAACCGGTTGTTTTTGGAACCGTCTCATAAACTCGAAAAAGCGGTTTGCAACGGTACAGAACCACCGTCGAGCATCTATCTAGTTGCAGCCGTTTGCCAATTTAAACCGTTCTTTTTGGAACCGTCTCATAAAACCGAAACAGTTATGTGCACTTCGCACTAACTGCAGCCGTTTGCCGACGTTTAACTAGTTTATTATCAGTTCTTTTGTTCTTTAAGCAGGCACTTCTGACCCTTGTTTTGTTTTTGATTTTAGACTATTTTATTTTATCTTTAAGAGCTTTAGTTAAAAATTATTCTTTTAATAAACTAAATCATTATTTGGCATTACTATTTCTACCATCATCATTGCGCATGTTTAATGGAAATTTTTAAAAGTAACATGTTCCTTTTGGAACCGCATTTTGAAACCTATTACCAACGTGGAACTGGAACGTTGTAACCCTGTTACAGAAAAATAACCGTTTATCCCACCTCTAGTTAAAAGTGCCATAAAGCAGACGACTACAGATAACCATCATCAACCAGCCGTTTGCAGCTTCCTGGTTGCAACCAATGGCTGAAGTTTGGATCAGATCCACTATTTAATGCGCTTTGAGGTCTAACCTCATTTAGAGCAATTGATTATTATTTAAGCACTCGTTCTGGTCGCAAATGAGTCGAAAGCACTCTAAGCTCGGTTTCTTTGTAAAATCCATAATACATCATTAAATATGCCTGCGGTTGAATTGGCCAGACTTGCATATCTTAAGCGCGACTTTAGAAGGCCCTTTCTGCGTAAATACGGCGGAAAATTGCCATTGCAGCCTCCAAGAAGTTTTAAAAGTAACATGTTCCTTTTGGAACCTATTCCCAAAGTGGAACTGGAACGTTGTAACCTTGTTTCAGGAAAATAACCGTTTATCCCACCTCTAACTAGAACTAAGCAAAATTTAAATCTTCTGCCTCTAAATGAAAAAAGCGCAAATGCTTAGTGATGCGGTGGAATCGGAGCTTTTTGTGCACAAAATTGACAATTACAGATGTTTTCTTTCTTTAGTAGTTTATGTCAATTTTAAGCCTGCAAATCGCCATGTTCGGTGTAAAAAAAAGACCGAAAGGACACAAGATTTCCAAAGAATCAAAGCCAAAGTGACCTTCTGCTGCACGATAAGAAATAAATCAAAACTTTCTGCTCTTCTGAACTGTCTTTGCGTTTAAAATTTTGAAAAATTTCAATAGTAAATTTCTTGGCATTCAGTACTTCAAAGTTCTTCGGAAGAGCGCTGGACGATCTACTGACCAGACACACCAAAACTTTTATAAATTTCCCAAAAATCGATTAACAGACGCAATCAATCGGGACTTTCTGGTCTTTTCAATCATGAGATCTGAATTCAGTTTGAATCGCTTCTGGATTTTGGTAATATTTTTTGAAATTTAGATTCATACGCGGAATAAACTGCAACTTGGAGCTTTTCCCAACATGTTTACTTTTTGGGGGGGAATCGATCGACCAATGAAAACAACAGATGCGGTAGAACCGGAGCTTTTTGTATACCTTTTTTGTCTTTCCTCTGGTGTTCACGTCAATTTTAAGCCTGAAAAGCGCCACGTTTCCGCGCTGCTTTGCTTCTCGTCGCAATTTTTTGGTTTGAAAAACCGAAAAGACTTCAACGAATATCAGCCCACAATCTGCGCACTTTGGCCCTTTGCCGAAGGCAATAATGAAAGAATCTTAGCCAAACAGTTGTGAGAAAATACCTTGAAAAGCAGCTTCAAATTGCAATTTCTGGATCTCGTCCTGATCCTTGGCCAGTCCGGGCGCCAGCAGGAAACAGAGCAGCCCCCAAAAGGGCCCCCAGTAAGGTCGCATGTCCGTCAATGGCCCCAAAAGCCCCTAATAGTGGCGCTGACTCTATAAGGGCACATAACCACCCTGGGACGGCGCAAAACACTCCGCAACACTCACTGCACTAATTAAACCGAAATAATTCATGAATGTCTCAACTGTTGAATGGGTTCAGGCAAAAGGGCCAGTGGGGAAATTTGGATCGGACGCAACGCGTTTAGGGCCCAGCTTCCCGTCATTTACCGTACAAACACTGTCTTCTAATACGCGCACCCACGAGTTCTGATCGACTCTGGGGGGTTGAAATTGTGTTTTGCTCCCCCGCTCGTTCAATACGGGGCCGATCGAATACGAGCACGCACGCCTGAATTTCCCTGGATGGCACGAAGGTAGTGGAAATTCTTGCGACATCTGCCGATTTCGGTCGCAAACTCTC